AAAGTAAACTGAATGCAATCACGGCAAGCTGTAGTTTGCCGCGTAGAAACGTGGCGCTAAATGAGGCAAGCATAGCGCGGAAAAATACCGCAGAGTTTTGTATCCTGCGTTATTTAAGCTTAATTAATTGCAAACTTTTAGATATAAATTATTTTACTAATACAATCAAAAGGATCATAGCCGTGCTGAGGGAACGGGTGTAGACCGGTTTAGTCAAGTTTTTATCTGATCCCGGAAACATCGGTGTCCGGCCTCTTGCAAACAAATTATGGAAAACTAAAGATTCAATATTACAGGTTTCCCACTCTGGATATATCCCTCAGATTTCAGAAATATCATCTTTTAGCTGGTATCTTTACTTTTTAATTCATAAACATTGAAATATTTAACGTCTAATTAAGTTTTAAAAAGCCGATCGAGTCCTTTTATGTAAGACTTTATACGTCGTTTCAACATCGATGAAAAATATAGAACTGGTTTAGAAAAAAGTTAAGATTTGTCATGTTTAAAATTGTGTTAGTTGAAATTGTGTTCAAAATAATCCAAACTTCTTCAATTTTATTTATCTTAGTCCAGTTCCATTATCCAGAATGGATCGAATGCCATTCCATTCCTAAAATTATTTTGGGATCAGTTCGGGGTCAGTGTGAAAAAATTGGGGATCATTTGGACTCGGAATCATTTCGGAGTCGATTTGTGGATCATTTCTGGGTTGGGTTCATTTCGGGGTCGAGTTCATTGCGGAAGCTGTACAGTGGCTTTTGGCATCTGACAAGAAAAAAAAAAAGATTGGCTTTTAAATGGTGTCGGCCTGATATTGACTTTCAAATCAATGTTAATTTGTTCAAATCTGTTTAGTCCTTCATCTCCCAATCAAACCGCTTTTCATGATTTTTTTCTTTTTTGTATGTGATTTGCTTGAACCTGTCCTTTTAATTCTTTTTTCATTTTTCATATTTGTATTTATCTGATCGTGTGATATTAATTGTATTGTTAACAACGTAAGCTCTCCAGATGAGCATCTGATGCTCTTAGAGCAAATATTGAGTTTTAATATTGTTTAAATAAAAAGATCTCTCACAATTGTGACTGCGGCATTTCGTGCAAAGTCGTGACCCTTTCTCTTTCTGAAAATACTTGAATTTCTGAAGCTCCATGGCGTAACCATGTTATCAACTCTGATAAGAAGGCTGAAATATTTGGGATTATCAAGAAGATCCTTCGTCTCTGACGATGAACTGAGAAATGCCATTGAGAAGGAACATAGTAAAAGTGGCTGTTTTGTGTGGTTACCGAAAGATGTGGACTGAGGGCTCAGAAAGAAGAGGATTATTGTCCAAAGAGAAAGGGTCTCGACTTTGCTAAGGAAACGCAATCCTAATGGTGCCTGTACAAAGCTGGCGAAAGAAGAGGTAAAGACGGCGAGCATACCATATACTAAAGGGCCAAATTTCATTTGGCATACTGATGGCCACGATAAATTAAAGCGTGCATGGCTGTATCGACGGGTTTTCGAGAAGGCTTGGTTGATTTCGTTAAAGTAGACTAGCGGGAGACACTTTCCGATGGACTAGAACTTGAACGTCTCATTTCCTCTCGCACAGTCCTGATGATCACATCCATTGCACAAAATGGCCGCCAAACAACTTGCACGTGAACAGGGCAAGACGCATGACAAATGCATGTCACAATAGTAAGAGATCTGGTAACTACTCGAAAAAAAAAACTGGGGAGTAAAAATTTAAACTGCAGAGTCGGTCACAAAATAAAACTGGACTGTGAAAAATTAAAACTGGACTGTGAAAATCAAAACTGCTGGGGCTGTGAAAAATCAAAACTGCGACTGTGAAAATTAAAACTGAACTGTGAGCCTCCTGGGCCATCGCAAGATATACTGTTTGAAGAGCTTTTATAGAAGGAGAAGTTGGGAAAAGAACAACTTTAGAAAGACCTTGGAAAGAAGAAGATCCAAGCAGAGAAAGAAAAGGAGACGGCAGAAGATGTGCGAAAACAAGCTATGAAACTTAACGATGGGAGAAAAGTTGTGAAGAAGTTGCTTGCACCAAAAAAAAAAAGGCAAGGAGGAGCACAGGTGATGCCATTTATTACTTGAAAGAAAAGGCAACAAAAGAGTATTCACTGAAGCAACAAGAGATACAGCTGAGAAAGAAGAGAGCTGGAGGTCATTATCTTGAATGCTCTATATAGTGTCCCCAATAAGTTTTTTTAGCTAAATACCATTGACACTTAAATAAAGTTATTCTTCTTCTTCTATTCTGGAAAGAGCTGGCAAAAAACTGAACAACAAGAGAAAGCATCCCCACAGCAACAAGATATGAAGGCAGTTATGATGAAGCAGATGCAACAACACAGCAACAACAACAAAGCCCGCAAGCTATGTTTATTGCCCAGCAACAACAACAGAACCAACTGTTGAATTGATGGCTATGATGGGTAAAACTGGTAGCAAGTTGCCAGGAATGAAACATTTGTTTTGTTCCATACTCATCCTGTCTTAATGTAGGCACATTTTTGGTGTTAAAGAATTAAGCCACTTCTGTTATTACATTTTTCTATATTTGTAAAGTTACTTTTTTCAGTTGGTAAATCCTTTTTGTAGATATGGATATAGCCTTAACCCAGTGTGGGGGAGGGGGATTGGTACTAAATATAGTAATGATTTGGAGGTGTGAAGGATTTTGGTGGCATAATATTCACGATTTCTGAATGTATTATTTTGGCCATAACTTTTCTCCAGTACCATATTGAGGGGTGGGGGAATAAAGTTTAATATGGGTTTTTGTTTTTTGGGGGGGATGTATATTTATTATATGGGTGTTTTGGGGATGTTAAAATCATGGGTTCATTCACACCTCCCATTCTATTTTTCCTTGTTGAATGACTACCTCCCCTCCCACACCTACCCTGGAAACATTTAATTGCACGACAGTTTTTACGTGCCCAAAAGTGTGACCACTTTTAATTAATTCACATTATTTCGTGCGCGTACACTTATTATCCAATCAGAGGTCAAGGATATCAATTCGTCGGCTTCTGATTGGATAGTCTGCACGCACGAAATAATGTGAATTAATTAAAAGTGGTCACACTTTTGGGCGCCTTGCTGTAAATATTAGAACATGTTGTTGTTCAAATATCATCTGTTAAGGTTTTTCTCAAAAGTGCATGGCAGTATTAACTTTAATTGTACATTTTTGAGGTGCATTGTACATTGTTGTTACAGAAAGTTATATAAGATTGCATTATGCATATGAGTATGTATAATAAATCTGTCTTTAATAAATCTTGAATTTTTTTGTGAATTTGGTTATTCATCGTTTTTCTTGGACTAATTATAGTATGTGATTATCGAGAAGTACAAGTGAGTGGGGCTTTTTTAAACGGATATAGTTGATAAGCCTGAACATGCGCCGAACCGTGAAACACTCCCTTTAACAACTTTCATCAATTATTGACTTATTGTAGCAAAGTAGCAATTCACTAATAAGTGGGTTGGAGGGGCAATTTTAAATCATTACAGGACAAAACAGTACTTTGCCAAGCATTCACTGCATAGCAATGCTAAGCGTAGGTGGTGTGTAGCTGGCTTTGTATCCCCTGAGTTCGAGTTTACTAACGAGCGCAAGAGGACCCGCTAAGAGCCCCTCCGAGCCGAAGATGAAATCAGAGGTTGTCGTGCAGCGTAATACCCGTCGACGTTGGCTTCCGTGGCTTTATCGCTAGGTCCACCATGTCCTTCTTTTCAAACATCGGACTCTCCAAGAAAACTCAACGCTCAGTTATCAAATCTCTTCATGGAGGCAGCATCCAACTCGATTTGGCTGTCATCACGCAGTGCATCGTGTATTGACCAGGAATGCTGCTTTACTACTATCCCTCTGAAACCTCACCTAGCAGTGACCCTCGAGGTCCGCTGCTTGGGACGTTCGTACTATACACTTGCTGCTATGACGCTCAGCCAGACATCACCCAGTGGCATCTGCCGCTGGTGGCGCCAGGAACTTTAGTCCCGTTGATAGATCCTGGTCAATGGCTGATGAGGGTGATGCCTTGCAGTTGGCAGTTCAACTGTATATGATGTTCCCACCCCAGTCAAACCTGAAATAAGCGGTGGGCTCTTTGGTCTTTTAGGACCGGAAAGGATTATAATTATCCCTTTCAACTCTCTAACTCTAATAGTATTAAAGCTACGACAATGAAACTTCAAGTATGTATAGTACATCCAAATATGTTTCCTTGAGGTTCATATATGTAACACTGATTGAGATGGTGACGTCTCAAGGAACATAAAGTTCCGTGAACAATGATATGTCATACCAAATTGTTTCCAGGTGAATTTCAGGTAAAGTCACAAAGTTTCAGGTGTCGTTATAAACCTTTAATTCCGTTCCCTCCTCCCCCGCGGTCTGGATGTGGTTAAGGGATCTAGATCCAGCGCGCGTCACGGTTTGAACAACTGACAACATAGCTGAATACATCTAGTGAATATAATATATTTCCAGTAGTTCCTAATAAATGTTCTCTTACCTTCATTGTCAATGTGAAGTCCTTCAGTTGAAGACAAAGATCTCGTTGGAATTGACACACTCACATCAGGATACTCTGGACATGTGCACGTATATTCTGGGCTTTTTTCGGATATGGGCCTTGAAAAGGTGTTGGACTTGAGACGCCAGGTCACAGCGTACATTGAAAAACTGGTTATTTTAGCCTGTGCGAATCGCAACTCACTTTGTGATTCAGAATTTTCACTTAGAGGATCTACAAGAAAACGTTGACAAATAAGCTTTTTAAAAGGTGCTCTCGGGTCAACAACTGGCCCACACTGCCGAGAGCTTATGCTAGGAGTATTGCTACTCCCCCTGGATGGGATGTAAAGTCCATCACAGATTACCCCCAGCATTATGTCGCTGATACTCATTTCTGGGTGGTGAGAGGCACTATGAGGGTCAAGTGTCTTACCTAAGAACACAACACAATGACCCCGACCAGCGCTTGAACCTGGACCGCTCAATCCGGAGTCCAACGCGCTAACCATTGGGCCACCCCGTCTCCGCAAATCTTAAGACCCTCAAATTATCTATATGCCAGTATGCCGATTTACACTGTAGTAAGTGTTGTAACAGAACACATATGTATACAAGAAAAAGCTGGTTTGCGCTGTGACATAATTTGAAAACAATTAGTAAAACCTTCATCATTAGGTAATTGTTTCCAATTTTCGCCCCCCCCCCCCCCCCCCCACCTAAAAAACGGATATACCAGCTAGAAATACCTCTGAATTTCTAAATTAAAACTTACGACATTAACACATTTATTTTCACGCATGTGCATGGGCAACGTTTTATTTAAGATTATGTCTGAAGAAACCCAAAACATTAACCGGGATAATGATATAGGAGTCAGTAAGCCAAATTTTACATTGATTTTGTAAATATCATTTCACAGTTTTTTCCTTCCTAACTTTCGAGCTTTCAAAGCTGACGTTCCTTTGCAGAGATCTATCATTTTATAAGTGAGCTTATGACATATGAATTGCTGACGTCTAATCTCGAACGACCGGTGCCTAACAATGTGCGTCAAATGATTAATCCTCACGGAGATCAAAACAATAAATTAATAAAGGAAAACAATGCAAATAGGCCATTTCCGAGTTGCCTTTTGCCTCTGTTTCCAAAACGAGTCCAGGTGTGAAACCTTTCTTATGAAAATGAGTTTGATTTGCACTTGAATGAACTTGTGAGTAAAATTCATTTTCATATGAAAGGTTTCACACCTGAACTCGTTTTGAAACAGAGGGTACTCGAATATGGCCTATTCAATTCTGTTGTGTTCGAATGATGCAAAGTGAAAACCGGAAATTGTACTTCGCGCAAGCATTTCCAAGAAAGGCCATTTACGCAGTCTGCTTTCGACCAATCAGATGCGAGTATTTACGGCAGTACTATTAAGAGAAGCATAACAATACCACAGGCCCGTTAACCCCCATGTTTTGTAACATACCTGATGGGCTCCAAGTTTCTAAATCCTTCCAAACATTGTCCTCTGCGTTAGTCAGTTTCTTTCATCACCAACTCGTATCCTCCCAAGTCAGTTGCACTGTGAGACAAGGCCACAGTAACCCCACTAAACGTTATACCAACTAGATCATCACACGCAAGCTCTATTACGTTGCTGACCAACATTTCATTCTCTTCAAGAGGAGGTGAGACAGTACCAGGACGCCACAATGAAGACGTGACCAGCCTTGGGTCCGGCACAGCTTTCGAAGAAAATGTGATGCAAACACCAGTTTCTTTGAGGATCCAGGAGGAACTTTCCTCCGTAACAATGTCCCTATTGGGAAAAAAGAAACGTAACGTATTGAAAATCGTGAGTGCTTTTATGAGCTTTTCTGGTACTGATTTGAATGATATATGTTTTCACTGCATACAGTTTTCACGTGAGAAACGTTGTCGAGTTTTGGCCCTGCGTCACATGAAAACATACTTACGCGAAAATTATTCTCTTGGAGTTCTTTTCTTGTCGATGTGAAGTTGAAACACCTGGAAATTGATGCAATCAAGTTAACATCCATGAATATAGTAAAATGGCAGTACTAGAAGAATACTGAAGTGTACTGAAGTGTAGCACTACTGAGTCTATGCAGAGGCGAAGAATTTGCCTTTCTTGTTCCCCACCGTGGGGCATTTGAACAGCTCAATTGTATCCCCATTTAAATTTACAAAATGATGATGCTCGGGGTTGGCCAGGGGGGCGTTAGGAGTTGAGTTCTGACTTGAAATCAAACGTATCTCGTCAGTATGATTACTGGTTTCGTGAGTCATAAGGTTTTTGTAGTGGGACAACTTTTCGACGAGTTCCTTTGTTACGCGTAAGTTTTCGTTCATTTGAGGGCCGTTTACACGACAGAAAAATTGGGTACGGACCCCAAAAAAGTGGTAAGGACCGGATAATTTTAGCCGTTTACACGATTGATATTTTGGCACGGGTCGGATAAAAAGTGGCCTAAGGACCAAGTACGGAAATTAGTGTTTACACTGCACGTTTGGGGGACCGGAACAATTTCTAGTATGATAGACAATAGGTTTAATTAGTAGTACAATTGCTATGCACGTGCGTTTTACTCTTTGGTACATTTATGTGTACGTACGCAGATTCACGGTATTATGGTGAACGTGAACACACGACGGTGAATTTCCTTTCTCTATCTGAACTTGTACTCCGTCCCTACGAATTCTGCTCCTGGACAGTTCGGCCACATTGAACAAATTGAATCGCGAAGTTATAGGAACGTGAATTCACTTTTTAAGTGACGTTTTCCATGGCGTTGCCGTCATGGTTGCTTGAGGTCCCCTAATGGCGACGCACGACTTATCAGTTCTCGTGCGTTTTCTATCCAAACGAATTGGATCGTTTCCTCTGAAACAATATCAAGATTCGTCTTTCCAAGAAAATGTATTTTTTATCTTTTCCTTTTTCATGTCGAGTATTCTCCAAACCGCCACAATCTTGTTCCCAGGGTCCTCGTTACCCTTGTCCAGCTGCGGAACGGAGAAACAAAGACCTATGGGTGGAAGCGATCGCCATGACATGCGCAGTACGGCCATGACATGCGCAGTAAAACAGTCCAACTGAAGATGCCGTACTGCGCATGCGATCAGGAAAGTTATTAGGCAAGACGGACGAAAAGTATGAAATGGGTCCGTACCCATCAGAAAAAACATGGTACGGACCGTTAACAGGGGCAAAAATTTGCGGTCCGTACCGCTTTTTTACGGGTCCAAAAGTACCGAAGAGAGCTATTTTCTGTTATAAGGGACTGTGCAATAATTACCAGGAAGGGGGGGAGGGGTTACAGAGGCGGATCCAGACCAGTTTTATAATAAATAAGGTGGGGCCGCAAAAGGGGCCCCGGGTCCCTCCGGGTCCCTCCCCTAGATCCGCCACTGCTTCCACTGAAAGGCTTGATGTTCTGTTAGCTGTGACTGAACTGCAATTCAAACCGTTGCAATAACTATTATTCTCTATAAGGTTGCAAAAGTGCCTAACAAGCTGCGGTATCCCATAAACCCCTAGTTCATAAGTTCTCATAACACATGGCTATGTTGAACATTGCTACGGAGGTGATGTTTCTTCCAGACGCGGATAGGTAGGAGCTCTTATTTCTGTTATAAGATCTTAATCACCTGAGCACAGGTGCGTGTAGAGAAAATACAGGTTACTTGTATGGTCTTGTATAAAGGTGTGTGTGGGTTGTGAGGGGAGGGGGGGGGGGGGGTCATTCATAATTTCTGACTGATCAGAGGTGGGGGGAATAACTAAATTCACTTTTTTAGGAGTGGGTATTACCTAATATTTTCCTACATCAAGCCCATTTTCACCCCCCCCCCCCTCCTGATAATTATTGCAGAATCCCTAATATCCCTAATCCAGTGGGGCGCCGGAGGGACTCTGTAAAGCGAGGAAACAAACGGCGGAAAATTAAAAAAAAATGATAATCAAAAAATAATAATTATTAAAAAAAAAAATTATTATAATAATTGAAATAAAATAAATAATTAAAATAAATAAACAAAAAATAATAAATGCCGAATGAGAACTATCAGCAATGCACATGGTACAAATCAATATAATTGTGCGTTGATACATTACTCATGCGAGACATGCATCAAGCCATCGACAAATCGAGAATAACTTTCACCAATCGCGAACCTGGAACGGTTGCGCTAATACTCCTTTCAAACTTCCAAATTTAACTCGAATGTTGATTTGATTAATGACAAAATATATCTTTCCAGCCCCGTGGGAGAGGTGATAGTAATTCTGGAAAACAACGCAGAAGTTTGAGTAATTTGATTAAAAAAGACAAAAAAAAGGGGTTTGCTTCCACGATCGAGACGGTTTTACATGACTGAAATTTGCATATTTGACAGGAGCCGAGGAGCGTGCACGAAAGAATGTCTGCTGTCGCACTATTCGAGTCAGATGATTTTTTCGATCACTTCATAGCAAGTTTCTGAAATTTCCTCTTCGCTTTAGCAGACAATAGCAATGAAACATAGAAACTACAAGGAGAAGATACATAACGAATTATTTTGCAAAGTGGAGAAAGCCAAGCGTGACAAGGGTAGTTTCTTGACTATCCTGCGGTCGGTAGCTGTCAACTGTCTGGTCGAACCGGAAATGCCATCGCAGACGGCTTTTCGTCAAATCTCTTACAGCGTAGCCTCCTAAGCAGACGCTCTTTGGGCTCGCCCAAAGAGCGTCTGCGTAGGAGGCTATTACAGCGCGGATACTCGAACCATGAACACTTTGGCTTTATTTTGGCTTTATTTTGACTTTATTTTGTCTTTATTTTGACTTATTAAGCGGCCGATGCATCATGGGCATCGAGCCGCTTCAAGAAATGCACTTTTTTTCATGTCGCTAGCCTTAGTCCTCTTCACGGTTGACATGATGTTATCGCATCTCGGTCTAAAATTAGCCAGTAGAGAATTTCTCTTCCACATTCTTTCTGTAGTGTCGTGTAAGTGCGTAGATGTATTTAGTTTATTACAGTAATCCCATTGGAAAAAGCAAAGACAAATGTTCCACAGAAGTGAACAGCAGTGTTGTTGCAAAATGTGCTAAATTTTGTTGTGTGACCTTTTCTCGTTATTCGATCCCACGGTGGACATGACGCAATCTCTGGTCATGTCACGGTGCAGTGATCAGTAGATAAGCCCGCTTCCTCTGGTTGTAAGATATACTCCAGTTTCACTAAATCTGGCACGCTTGTAAGCACTAAGTCCAACACGTTGTTACCTCTGGTGGGCGAGGTGACAATCTGCGACAGGAAGTAATCACCCAACAGGTCCATGAATTGCAGTTCATCAGCACCCGTTGTTCTTTCAGGATGGTCCCAAGAGATGTTTGGATAGTTTATATCTCCACAGATTAGCATATTTTCGTAGCGATCACAGATTTGGGAAAGGAGTAGATTGAATTTTACCAGCCACGTTTTATCAGAGTTAGGTGGTCTATAGCAACAGCATAAGAGCAGTTTCATG